CGGCATTCCCTTCTCCATTCTCTCAGGATTTGGGGCACACACGCACGCCTGGCATGAGCTTCAAGTCTCTGGGTCCGGGACTCAGACCGTGGTCGACCCTGTGGGAGTTCAGCATCCCAGTCCCTATGCCACCTGCTGGTTCTGGTCTGACGTTTTCTTGTCCTCCTCCAGGAGGGACACATCTGGGGCTCCATGAAGAGGACGGCTGTCATCCTGGGCTCTGGCCTCCTCTTGCTCGTGGCCCTCTGGAACTCAGTCACATGGTAAGTCTGTTCCACCCGGCTTGAATTCAGGATTTGGGGAGCCTGGTAGGGGACTGGGGTCAGGGGATGGAGTAAGAAGCTGTCCACCCACAAATCCTCACTTAGAAATCTGAATGTCTTTTCTTCCAAGGCATCTTCAGAGATTTTGGGGTGCTTCTGGCTACTTTTGGCAGGCCAAGTGGGAGAGGCTGCTGTCTACATTCGAAGGGAAGGAGTGGATCCTCTTTGTTATAGGTGAGGGTGTCAGACCACCAGTTTGGGTGTGGGTACATGATTATTCCTTCATTGTTTCTACTGTTTTGTTCTCTGTCTTGGGTCTTCGCAATTCATTATTCCAAGGGATGAGGACTTGAGATTTAAAAGCGTAGCAGCCCCGAAGAGTACGACGTGGGTGGGTAGCCTGGAAGCTGTCTCTGTGGTGGTTGGAAAAAAAGAAGCTGGGAAGTTGAGAACCCCCACCCCAAATACAGAACAGAGAGAAATGTTGTGAGTGAAAATGAGCGCATGTGTAGAGCAGTAACCCCACTTGTCCACACCGTGCACAGAGCTTTTCTGTCTTGTCCGAGACCATCCCTGCATGTGGTACAGCGTAGCTCTCAGTGCTGGACAGCATGTGGCCACTCGATACATTTAAAAAAAAAAAACATTTAATTTTATTTGTTATTATTATTTTTTAATATGATGAGAGAAGGGAAGAGAGAGAAAGGGAGAGCAAGCCACTAGGCCCACCTACTACTTCAGAGATAAGCAGATATGAGAGAGAGAGAGAAATGTGTAGAGCTGGAGGAAAGCCTAAGATCATCTCATGTTTTTGTTTCTATTCTGTATTTCTCAAGGAATCCTAGGAGTTCCATGTAGGTGGACACCTGTTGGATGACTCAGTGGGTAACCGCCAACTCAACATTTTTAAAAAATAAATATTTATTTTACTTATTTTTTTATTTCAACTTATTATTTTTTTTGAGAGGTTTTTGCTATAGGGCACGTGCGCTCACCAGATAAACAGAGAGAGACAGAAAGACAGAAAGTGAGAAATCACCCCCCCCCCAGGGGAGATGGCCACGCCATAATCCCTTCTCCTCCATTCTTCTCTCGGGATCTTGGACACACATGCACACGCGCCCGGCGTGAGTTTAAGCCACTGGGTCTGGGACTCAAACCATGGTCAACTACATGGGAGTCCAGCGACATAGCCATTACACTAACTGCTGGTCCCTATTTCAACTTTTTTTAATGAAATATTAGTTTGTCAAGAAAGTCATGACATATTTCTCCTCTGTAAAAGTGCATCATGACTTTCCTGACAACCCAGTAAAAATAACTTATTATCTCTATAAAAGTAAATATGGGGGAACAGCAGGTGGTGTGGTGAGTAAGGAGCTAGACACTCCCACCTGGCTGACCATGGTTCAAGACCTGAATCTGGTGGCTTATTTTTTCGCTTCCTTTCTCCCTCTGTGTGTCTCTCTCTGGTCAAATTAAAATAAATGAATGAATAAATAAAATTAATAATTTTTTTAATGTAAATACGTGCTCATTTAAAATAAATAAACATCAGGGGCCAGCAGTTGGCTGGAGGTTAAGGCACTGGATCCCATATTGCTGACCATGGTTCAAGCCTCAGACCTAGCAGCTTGAAAATCAGGCCAGATACATGCATGTGCGTGTCCAGAATCCCAAGAGGAGAATGGAGAAAAAGAGATTGGGGTGTGGCTATCCCAGCTGGAAGGGGAGAGGTGAGGAGAGGGGTGATTTCTCATTTTCCCTTTCTTTGTCTGTCTCTCTCTAGTGAGCACATGCACCCAATGGCAAAAACCTTAATATATATATATATATATAGCAGACAATTCAATAAGCATAGAGAAGGTTAAAGTCATTCTCCCACCTCCAAGAAATAATGTAATTGTATTTATAAGACACTGTTTTTTACTTTTGAATTACAAAAAAATATTAGTTTTATTTATTATTATTATTTTAATTTGCTATAGGGCACATGCACTCACCAGGGAGAGAGAAAGACAGTGAGGGGACCAGTAGATGGTGGAGTGGTTACATTGCTGGACTCTCACATGGTCAACCGCTTCGAGTTCCAGAGGTGGTGGCTTGAAAATCACACTAGGCGCACGCACACACGTGTATGTATGTCCAAGATCCCAGGAGGATAATGGAGGAGAAGGGATTGTGGTGTGGCCATCTCCCCTGTGGGAATAATTTCTCACTTCTCCTCTCATTATCTCTCTCTCTCTCTCTCTCTCTCTCTCCCCCTTTCCTTCTCAATCTCTTTCTTCTGTGAGGACATGTGACCTAAGGCAAAAAAAAAAAAAAAAAAAGACATTGAGAAAGCAAGTCGCCAGTTCTGGGACTCGAACCATAATTGGCCATGTGGGAGTACACTGCCTTGAATCACCACAACAGACATCTACTGACCCAACAGATGTTTCTTTGTTTTGTTTTGTTTTTTTTAATCAGTGTCTATTTGAGAATGATTAACACACAATCTTTTTTTAATTTTTTTTAGTATTTATTTAATTCCATTTGTTATTATTATTTTAAAATTTGACCAGAGAGGAACAGAGAGAGAAAAAGAGAAAGCAAGAAAGCAAGCCACCAGGTCCAGGACTCAAACCGTGGTTGGTTGGCCGTGTGGGAATCCAGTGCCTTTAACCACCACACCACCTGCCAGTCCCCCAACACTGTTTTTTAACCCTCTTTTTTTATTATTATTGAGTAGATTGTAGACATCTTCCCATGTCAATTAATGTAGACTTAATATTTTAAGCTGCCCAGGATATTATGTTGTTTGGAATCTAATCTATTTAGTACATTCCCTACTGGTGGACAGTTAAGCTATTTTAAATGTTATACTATGACTTTTTAAAAAATTCTGTGAAGGACATTTATGCATATGAATACAAGGGCTATTTAAAAAGTCCATGAAAAATGCACATTATGAAAAACTATGCAAACATTTCAAAAATTGTATGCACTAAAATAAACTAATACTTTGATTCCATTTTCCACAAATCTCTTTTTTTTAAAGAAGTATTTATTTTTAACTTTATTTATTCATTTTTAATTTAATCAGAAAAGGACAGAATGAGAGTAAGACAGAAAGAGAGAGGGAGGGTGAGAAAGCAAGCGGCCAGGTCCAGGACTCAAACCATGGTCGGCGATGTGGGAGTGCAACATCCTTAACCACCATGCCACCTGCCAGCCCCATCCACAAATCTCTCAAAGTTCCCTCAGATAAGTGTCGTTTCTTTTCTTTCTCTGTCAGTCTCTGTTTCTCTCACTTTCTTTTTCACCTCGGACACTGCCAAATGGCCCCCAGAATGTTTATACTGGTCATTCTTCACAGTGTGGGCCAAATATTTTTCAGGTACCAACTACCACAAGACACTGGTTGGCAGAGCAGGAAGGGTGCTGGAGCTGGGGATAAGACAGAATTAAACATTTGGCTTTGTCCTTGGGGGATTTTACATCTAGAGGAAAAGGCAAATCATGGGAAAACAAAGTTAACGGCGTGAGAGTTAGGTAACACTGGGCTGTCACTTCAGTAACTCCAGGCTGGGCTAACAAAGTGCTATTTGTTCACAGTGGGAGGTCAGAGACACTTGGAATGACTTTCTGAAAAAGTGGGATACAGAGGGACCAGCCGTTGGTATAATGGCTATGTCGCTGGACTCCCATGTAGTTGACTGTGGTTTGAGTCCTGGACGTGGTGGCTTAAACTCGTGCTGGGCGTGTGTGTGCGTGCCCAAGATCCTGAGAGAATGGAGGAGAAGGGATTGCAGCGTGGCCATTCCCTCTTGGGGGTGATTTCTCACTTTCTCTCTGTCTGTCTCTGTCTTTCTGGAGAGCACATGTGCTCTATAGCAAAAACCTCTCAAAAAAAAAAAAAGTGGGATACAGAGCAAAAGCCAGAATACTAAGTCCTAGGTGCAGACATGGTGGTACATATTGTTATTTTTTTTAGGCGTTTTTGCTATAAGCATACTGTTGTTGGAGAGACAGAGTACAAAAAAATCACTCCCCAGGAGAAATGGCCACACTACAGTCTCTTCTCTTGGGATTTTGGGTATGCATACACACTTGCCCAGCATGAGTTTCAAGCTGCTAGATCTGGGACTTGAACTGCAGTCAACCATATGAGAGTCCAGCACCTTAACCACTAAGGCACCTGTTGGCCCCCAAGGCTGATGTTAGTAAGATGCTGTGCTCTGCCAACTAGGCCACGTGGGAGGCCTAGGTTTGATTCCCAGTCCATACTAAAGACTGGCCACAGTGTCATGGCCTGCAGTCATCTGGGAGATGGAGACAGAAGGATCACAATGTGGTAAGACCCTTTCTTTTTTCTTTTTTTTTTTAATAATTATTTTATTTAACTATTTATTTATTTATCTATTTATTTATTTATTTTAATTCGACCGGAGAGGGAGAGAGAGAGAGAAAGTGAGAAAGTAAGCTGCCAGGTCCGGGACTCAAACCATGGTCAGCCATGTGGGAGTCCAGCACCCTTAACCATTACCACACCACCTGCTGGCCCAAAGACCCTGTCTTATTTATTATTATTTTTTTTAAGAATTATTTTATTGGGACCAGCAATTGGTATAGTGGCTATGTTGTTGGACTCCCATGTGGCCGATTGTGGTTTGAGTCTCGGACCTGGTAGTTAAACTCATGCCAAGCATGTGTGCGTGCTTGCCCAAGATCCCAAGAGGAGAAAGGATTGCTGCAGGGCCATGCCCCCTGGGGGGCAATTTCTCCCTTTCTGTCTCTGTTTTTCTGGCGAGGGCACGTGCCCTATAGCAAAAACCTCTCAGAAAAAAAAAAATGACTTATTGTATTTTGGGGACCAGCAGGTGGCATGGTGCTTAAGGCTGCTGATTGACCACATGATTGACCACAGTTCGAGTCCTGGACCTGGTGGCTTGCTTTCTCACTTTCCCTCTCTCTCTCTCTTTCACATATACTCTGTCCCTCTCTGGTCAAATTAAAATAAGTGAATGTGGGACCAGCAGCTAGCGTAGTGGCTTCATGGCTGGACTCCTGTGTAGTTGACCGCGGTTTGAGTCCTGGACTCAGTGGCTTAAACTCACGCTAGGTGTGCATGCATACATGCCCAAGGTCCTGAGAGGAGAATGGAGGAGAAGGGATTGTGGCGTGGCCATCCCCCCCAGGGGGTGATTTCTCAATTTCTTTCTCTCTATCTCTTCTGTCTTTCTTGTGAGTGCACATGCCCTATAGCAAAAACCTCTCCAAAAAAAAAAAAAAAGTGAATAAATAAATAAAGTTAAGTAAAATTCAAAGAGAGAGAGAGAGAGAAAGTGAGAAAGCAAGCCACCAGATCTGGGACTTGAACTGTGGTTGGCCATGTAGGTGAGTCCGGCACCCTTAACCACTATGCTACCTGCCAGCCTGGACCCAGTCTTTTAACAATAAAGAAATAACAATAATAACTTTTAAGTCCTGGTCAGTATTTTCTAAACCATCCTGCGGCACATCAGTGCTACAGGATGGTGATAGGGAGGGAAGTTATAGAATTCATCCTCCAAATAGAGCCGGTCATGAAAGTGAAAGCAGTGTTGCTCATACGTGTGCTGGAATGACAGACGCAGACCGGAATTTGTCCTGGGAGACAGGAGCCCATGGCCAGCCTATGCTTCGGTGTTCTGGGAAATCAATGTCCTAGTGTCTAACAGGGCTGGGAAAGGTTGAGTTTAACAAAGTGAAGCAGGTTTCTCTGCTGCAGGAACTCTCAAAGGCATTAACACACACATGGTTTGCCTGTCTAAAGAGTGGAAGACTAACCAAGAGTAACCTTGACAGTTGTGTTTTTCAGAGCTGGCTCCAGGGCCTGGTGGTTAAGGCAGCTGGATCCCACAAGACCAACCATGCATTTTGAATCTCAGGCCTAGTAGCTTGAGAAACACACTAAGCACGGGACGGGCAGGTGGTGTGGTGGTTACAGGCGCTGGACGCCTACATGGCTGACTGTGGTTCGAGTCCTGGACCTGGTGGCTTACTTTCTCACTTTCTCTCTCTCTGTCTGTCCCTCTCTAGTCAAATTAATAAATAAATAAAGTTAAATAAAATAATTCTTTAGGGAGAAAAAAAGGAAACATGCCAAACACTTGTGTATGAGTGCCCACAGTCCTGAAAGGAAGGAAAGATGGAGGAGAAGGGAATATGATGTGACCATTCTGCATGGGGGGTGCTTTCTCCCTCTCACACTCTCTCTGGCGAGCACACGTACGCTCTAGCAGAGCAAAGAAGGAAGGAAAAGATGAATTGTTCCTGTTGGGAACTGGTGGACGGATGACACCTGAGACCCCACTGCTCAGTTAGAAGGGTAGCACTGCCGTCCGGCGCCCACAGGGCTCCAGGCTATCCCGATCACTGCCTTTGTTTCCCCTTTGTGGGCTGTTTACAGATGATTCGATGGGCACAGACTCCTAGATGCCAACCTAAAGTCATTTCTGTTTTAGAGCCTACCAAATATCTTAAGACACTTCCAGGGGCTGGCAGGTGGCATGGTGGTTGAAGCACTGGACTCCCACACTGCCGGCCATGGTTCAAACCCTAGACCTGGCAGCTTGCTTTCTCTCTCTCTGTCTCTCTCTCTCATGAGTATTCATGCCCTGTAGTAAATTTAAAAAATAACAGGACCAGGAGGTGGTGTGGTGGTTAAGTAGCTGGACACTCCCACATGGTCGACCACAGTTCGAGTCCTAGATCTTGCTTTCTCACTTTTCCTCTCTCTCTCTCTGTGTCTCTCTCTCTGGTCAAATTAAAATAAATAAATGAATAAATAAAATTAAATAATTAAAAAATAATGATCATGATAAATAAAATTAAATAATAATTCTTAAAAAAAAAAAGAGTGTCATGCGTGTGGACATGACAGTCACCTTGAAGGTTGTCGTCCCCATTTAATGGCTAAGAAAATAAAGACACTCTGTCAGTGACCTGCGCAGGTTTCCACAGCTAGTGTGTCACCCAGGACAAATGGGAGGTCCCTGGGTCCGAGCACTGAGACCTCCCCCGCAGGTGGCTGGCTGCAGCGCAGCCTCAGTCACTGTAAACGTGTGTTCAATTACTCTCCACGCTGCGAGAGCCTGAGGTCGCCCTCACTGTTTCTGCCTCCCTACCGCAGGTACCACCTCCGTGCCTTTCCTGCTCTTCTGGGCCTTCAATGGGCTGCTTCTGGTGGTCGACACAACTGGAAAACCTAACTTCATCTCCCGCTACCGAATTCAGATTGGCAAGAATGAACCCGTAAGTGTTGCTACCATTTCTCCCGTCTGGGCACAGGAAGCAAGAACTAAAGTCCTCACCCTGGGGTTCTCGCCCCTGGTCCAGGAGACACCATGGCTAGTGTGAGCCTGCTTATTATCTATAAGTCTCCCCCACTTCATTATTTTCAAAATTAAAAAAAAAAATTTTTTTGGAGAGGTTTTTGCTATAGGGTGCGTGCGCTCGCCAGAAAGACAGAGAGAGACAGAGAGACAGAAAGCAAGAAATCACCCCCCGGGAGAGGATGGCCACACCTCAATCCCTTCTCCTCCAGTCTCCTCTCGGGATCTTGGGCACACACACACACACACACACACACACACACACACACACACCCGGCATGAGTTTAAGCTACCAGGTCTAGTGCTCAAACCATGGTCAACTACATGGGAGTTCAGTGACATAGCCATGACACTGACTTTTGGTCCCAAGTCTCCCCCACTTCAGGTTAGAGAAAAGAAATCATTTGCCCAAACTCTCAGAGTCGTTAGTGGCCACTCAGCTTGTGGCCAGTCGAGATTCACATTCCGGTCTCCTGTTGCCAGCCTGGGCTCCACACCCACCTGTGCTCCCGCATAGGCCTGCGGTGCATTTCAGAACAGCCGTGGGGGCCAGGCCCGTAGCTCAGCGGTCAAGGGATCTGGGCCCCACACGCTGACCAAGGTTTGCGTCTCAGACCTGGCAACTTGAGAAATGTGCTCGGCGTTTATGAATACATCCCCCCATCCTGGCCGGATGGACAAATGGAGAAGGGATTGCAGTATGACCACACCCCTGGGGGAGTGCGCACGCTCTCTCTCTCTCTGGTGAGTGCACACACCCTCTGGTAAAAAACAAAAATGAGGGGCTGCCAGGTGGTATGGTGGTTAAAGGCGCTGGACTCCCACGTGGCCGACAGCGATCCAGACCTGGTGGCTTGCTTCCTCACTTTCCCTTTCTCTCTCTCTCTGGCTGATCAAACTGAAAAACAATAACAATGAATGAACTAAATAAATAAATAATAATTAAAGAAAAAAAGAAAGAAACCAAAATGACCAGTTCAGCTTGGTAGTGGACTGCATTCCGGAGCTGTCAGAGAGCTTCCCTGTACTGTTCCCCAGTAACAGACAGCAGTGGTGGGTATGAAATGAATCTCAGCTGCCGCTGAGTGAGGGAGAGGCTCCCCAAACTGTGGATGACCCCACTGCAGTAGAAGGATAGTATGGATCCTGAATGAGTGGCTGCTGGTGGTTTTATTTATTTATTTTTAGTTTATTTATTCTTACATTTCTGGTGGTGGTTTTAAACGTAGGTCTTGGGGCCAGCAGGTGGTGTGGTGGTTAAAGGCGCTGGACTCCCACATGGCCGACCGCAGTTCAAGTGCCTTGCTTTCTCACTTTCCCTCTCTCTTTCTTGCTCTGTCCCTCTCTAGTCAAAATAAATGAATAAATAAATAGATAAAGTTAAATAAACAAATTATTATTTTTTTTTTAAAAAAGCAGGTCTTGCTTCCTCATTATTCCATTCAAGCAACAAATGAATTAAATAAATAAAGGACTCGGTCAGATCCATGCTAAACAGGGCCCAGGCCCTGTCCACAAGGATTCCAACTTGCACAACACCGAGAACCAAGTCCCACCGCACCTGGCATCTGGCTTGCCTGCTTGCTGCTCTGACAGGCTCCAGGAGGCCTTTTTCTTTTTTTCTTTTTTTTTTTGGAGAGGTTTTTGCTATAGGGCATGTGTGCTCGCCAGAAAGACAGAGAGACAGAAAGCGAGAAATCACTCTCCGGGGGGATGGCAATGTTGCAATCCCTTCTCCATTCTCCTCTCTGGATCTTGGGCACGCATACACATGCGCCCGGCATGAAAGCCACCCGATCCAGGACTTGAACCGCAGTTGAGTACATGGGAGTCCAGCGACATAGCCATTACGCCAACTGCTGGTCCCCCAGGAGGCCTTTTTCATACAGCAGGGAAGAAGTGGATTCTGGAACCCATGTTCTTCCCCAGTTCCACCCAAGCTACGTCCTGGCTTCTTTCCTAGACAAGACAATCGTCTTTTTTTTTTTTTTTAACTTTATTTATTTTTAATTTGACTAGAGAGGGACATAGAGAGAGACTGAGAGAGAGAGAGAGAGAGAGAAGGCAAACCATCAGGTCGGACTCAAACCGCTGCTGGCCTTGTTTAAGTCCAGTGCCCTTAACCACCATGCCACCAGTTGGGCACCCCCCTTTTATTTTTGACAGTCATCCTTTTTTTTTTTTTAAAGAATTATTTTGTTTAACTTTATTTATTATTTTAATTTAACCAGAGAGGGACAGAGCGAGAGAGAGAGAGTGGGAAATTGAGAAATCAGGCCGCCAGGTCTGGGACTCAAGGGGATGGCCATGCCACAACCCCTTCTCCTCCATTCTCCCCTCGGGATTTTGGGCATGCATGCATATGCGCCTGGCATGAGTTTGAACCTTGATCGACTACATGGGAGTCGAGTGACAAAGCCATTATGCCAACTGCTGGTCCCAAAATTAATCATTTTTTAATAATTTGCTTAGATGCCTGGATGAATCACCTCTGGTCTCAGGGCCTTCTTCCCTGCCCTCACTCCAGAAAGGCAGAGCAGGTAGAAAGTTGTGCCCCTGACGCAGTCTTGAACTGGAGCTGCTGGCCTGTCTCACAGACCCCCTCATTTGAGATGAGAGCTGCCAGACAGCCAGGGGTCTTCCTCTAGGCAAGGCTTGCTGGGACGGAGACTGGAGTCTGAAACATCAAAGCCAGTGCTTGGCCCTCGAGGACCCTTCCCTTATCAGACCACAGCCATCTCCTTGGCCACCACCACTGACCCAGTGCCTCTACCTTTATTGTTGACAGGAGGAAGTGGAGGCTTTGAGATGTCAGATGGCTAAAATCCTGGTTTAAACTCGGGCTTTCCAACTCCAGGGCTCACACACTTAACCGCCAGGCTGCATCAGATCTCGAGAATATCACCTGCCACCTGTCCCACCTGAAAGCCACCAGTGACTGGAGTGCTATGGAGGGAGCCTTGTGCTTTGTAGGAAAGCTCAGGTTCAGAGGGGTGGAGGGGTCTAGGTCAGAGGAGCCCAGCCCCTGCTCAGCTCCTCCATTATCCTCACCCTGGTCTGAGGCACCATCATCTGTCACCCACATTACTGCAGCTTTTTGTTTTTGTTTTGAAGAGAGAATTTTGCTATAGGGCACACGCACTCACCAGAGAGACAGAGAGAGAAATGAAAACAAGAAATCTTCCCCTGGGGGGACGGGAGATGGCCATGCTACAGTCCCTTCTCTATTCTCTCAGGATCTTGGGTACACATGCACATGCGCCCAGCCTGAGTTTTAAGCTGCCAGGTCCAGGACTCGAACCACAGTCAACAATGTGGGACTCCAGCGACATAACCATTATGCTACCTGCTGATCCCAATGTTATTGCAGTTCTATTTGGTCTCTTAGTTTCTGCTATTGCTCCCCTGCAGTCTATTCTCACACAGCAGCAGAGTCATCTAGTCACTTCTCCGCTCACCACCTTGCAATTCCCTTGGAACAAAAGCCAGAGCCCTTACAATGGCCCACAAGACTATGTGCTCTGGGCCCTCTGTGCCTCTCTGGCCTCTTCCTTCTCTCCACACCACTCACTGCTCTCCAGCCACCAGGCCAGGCATTGCCTGCCTTACAGCCTTTTCACTGGTGGGCGGTTCCCTTCCTCCAAGCCTTCTCCCCCCATTTGTTTGGTTAACTTCCTCCTTCTCTTCATCTCTTTGTTGAAATCTCAGCATCTCAGTGAGGCCTACTCAGACCACGCTATTTAAAATCAATGGTGATGGGACCAGCAGTTAGCGTAATGGCTATGTCACTGGACTCCCATATAGTCGATCGTGGTTCGTGTCCCAAACCTGGTGGCTTAAAACTCACGCAGGACACGTGTGCGTGCATGCCCAAGGTCTGAGAGGAGAATGGAAGAGAAGGAATTGCGGCGTGGCCATCCCCCCTGGGGGGTGATTTCTCACTTTCTGTCTCTCTGTCTCTCTCTGTCTGGCGAGCACATGTGCCCTATAAAAAAAAAAAAAAAAAAAAAACCTTATAAAATCAGTGGTGACTCAAATCTTACCTGGCACTCCCCACACCCCTTTCTCACCTTTGCTTTTTCTTTATACCAAAGCACATATCCCCTTCAAATATAGTATACACATTTTTCTTTTTCTTTTTTTTTTTTTCCTTTCATAGTTTTGCTATTGGGCACATGTACTTCCTGGAGAGACAGAGAGATAGAAGGTGAGAAATCACCCCCCAGGAGGAATAGCCATGCCACAATCCTTTCTCCTCCATTCTCCTCTTGAGATTTTGGGCACACATGCACACGCATTCAGCATGATTATTTTTTTTTTCTTTCGAGAGATTTTTGCTATAGGGCACATGTACTTGCTGGAGAGACAGACAGAGAGACAGAAAGTGAAAGAAATCACCCCTCAGGGGAGATGGCCGTGACACAATCCCCTCTCCTCCAGTCTCCTCTCGGAATCTTGGGCATGCTGGGAGGGAATTTCCAAGGGCTATGGCATTACTCATTCATCCAACAGCCAAGGCCTCATTGTGGCAATGTTTCTTTTTCTTTTTTTAAGAATTATTTTATTTAACCCTATATATCACTTTTATTATTATTTTCCAGTTTGATCAGAGAGAGAGGGAAAAAGAGGGAAAATGAGAAAGCAATCCACCAGGTCTGGAACTTGAACCATGGTCAACTATGTGGGAGTCCAGTGCCTTTAACAACCATGCCACCTGCTGGCCCCATGGCAGTGTGTCTAACCCCAGGGTGAGGTGGCAGTAGCTCCCAGAATTCAGCTCCGAGTGAGTGCCTCCTGTGAGCGGTCACAATAGAGACTTTTTCCTAGAAAAGAAAGGCCTGTATCTCACACTGTTGTCCATCTCCCTCCTCCTTTCCCTTGGGCAGGTGGACCCCGTGAAACTACGCCAGGCCATCCGCACGGTTCTTTTCAACCAGATCATGATCTCTCTCCCCATGGTAGTCTTCCTCTATCCCTTCCTCAAGTGGTGGGGAGACCCCTGCCGCCGAGCGCTACCGACCTTCCACTGGGTCCTCCTGGAGCTGGCGATCTTCACTGTCATTGAGGAAGTCTTGTTCTACTATGTACACCGGTGAGCAGGGTCCCTGCCCTAGCACAGCCAGCTCTTCACCTACCTAGGGCTTACTCGTCAGCAAGAAAACTGAGGCCTCTGAAATTTTTTTTTTCCTTAAGAGAGGATTTTGCTATAGGGCAAATGTGCTCGCCAAAGAGACAGAGACAGAAAGTGAGAAATCACCCCCCAGGGGGGGTGCCCATGCCACCATCCCCTCTCCTCTGTTCTCCTCCCAGGATTTTGGGCACACATGCGCTCATGCTTGGCGTGAGTTTCAAGCCACTGGATCCGGGACTTGAACTGTGGTTGGTTATGTGGGAGTCCAGTGACATAACCACTATGGCATCTGCTGGTGCCAAGGCCTTTGAATTGTACATATAGGACACCGTCTGGCCTCAATTCTCCTATTGAATGGCTAATGGAGAGACAACTATCTGTCCCACACCAGAAAACTTGGGACAGACAATTGAGGGAAGTCCAGAAAAGAAAGTGCTTCTCCATTTATGTGGAAAAGCAGGGCAGTTTCCCATTCATTTCCTATTGATTTCTTTCTGGACATCATCCCCATTTTACAGCTAATAGCACTGGGAGAGAGTCACCCCTCCAAATTATGTAGCTAAGGAAGGGCGGGGGTCGGAACTCCAAGGCAGGTGGAAATTCCCATGCCAGTCCGGTGTACTTTGAACTTCATTCCACACATGTGACTCCTGGTTGCTGCCTCGGTTTCTCTAGGTCTGGAGGGGTGGGAGAAAGGGGAATCAGCGGATTAACTCTGAACTGTTGTCCCAGGGTCCTTCACCACCCAGCATTCTATAAGAAAATCCACAAGAAACACCATGAGTGGACGGCTCCCATTGGTGTGATCTCTCTCTACGCCCACCCTACGGAGCACGTGGTGAGTAGAGCTCCACTTCTCCCCAAGGCGAAGGGCAGAGAGGAAAGTCTCTTGCAGAGAATGAGACCACACTGGTCCTTTCCTTGTTCTCATTAAATAGCTTCAGTTATTGTCAGCCTGCCACATACCAGGCTATGCTAGGGGCCCATTATCTCATTTAATCCTCCCAATAATCTTGTTTTAAAGAATAATCTTATTTAACTTTATTATTATTATTTTGGAGAGGTTTTTGCTATAGGGTACATGCACTCGCCAGAAAGACAGAGAGAAACAGAGAGACAGAAAGCAAGAAATCACCCCCCAGGGGGGATGGCCACACTGCAATCCCTTCTCCTCCATTCTCCTCTCGGGATCTTGGGCACGCACGCACATGCGCCCGGCGTGAGTTTAAGCCACCAGATCCGGGACTCGAGTAGCAGCCAACTACATGGGAGTCCAGTGACATAGCCATTATGCCAACTGCTGGTCCATTATTTTTATTATTTTTTAATTTGGCCAAAGAGAGAGAGGGGAGTGGGAAGTGAGAAAGTAAGCTGTCAGATCTGGGACTGGAACCGTGGGGGTCTGGCAACCTTAACCACAATGCCACCTGCTGACCTACCCAATAACCTGTTCTTTATTCTTACAGAGAGTTTTGCTATAGGGCACATGCACTCACCAGAGAGACAGAGAGAGAGAGAGACAGAAAGAGAGAAATTACCCCCTGCCCCCGCCCCCACCCAGGGGTGGGGGGAGTATGGACACAGCACAATCCCTTTTCCTGCCCTTTTCCGCTCAGGATCATGGGCACGCACACACGTGTGCCCTGTGTGAGTTGTTTCATTTACTTATTTTTAGAGAGAATTTTGCTATAGGGTGCCTGTGATTTCCAGAGATACAGAAAACAAGAAACCACTCCCCACCCCCCAGGGGGGATGGCCACGCCGCAGTCCCTTCTCCTCCATTCTCCTCTTGGGATTTTGGGCATGCACGCACACACGCTCACTGTGAAATTTCAGCCGCCGGGTCCGGGACTCAAACCACGTTGACTACATGGAAGTCCAGCGAGGTAACCATTACACCATCTGCTGGTCCCCCAATAACCTTTTTATTCCTGACCTACTAACAGGGAAGCTGAAGCTCAGTTAATAACTCGTCCTTAGTTATAAGGTGAATGTCTCCAACAAATCAAGGTCCTGAAACTTCTTAGGTTCTCCGGATCTGAGTCGAAGACATCTCTACTCCCACGCTGGGGCTGAGTGGACACCCGACTGGGTCTCCCATCCTTCTGGGCCCTGCCTTCAGTCACCCCCTTCCCTTGCAGGCCTCCAACATGCTGCCGGTGTTTGCAGGTCCCTTACTAATGAGCTCCCACTTGTCCTCCATCACCATATGGTTTTCCTTGGTTCTTATCATCACCACCATCTCCCACTGCGGCTACCACCTACCCTTTCTGCCCTCACCGGAATTCCACGACTACCACCATCTCAAGTAAGCACCCCCCCGCCCCCCGTGAGTCCCCAGGCAATAACCACCACTCTCACTGCTTGAGCTTCTAACAGACACGGGAGTCCAGTTTACACGTGGGTGCTTCCGGGGAGAGATTTGGAGGTATGGAAAATCAGAACCACACTGGGCACCCTTGTTCTTTCTCTCCTGACTTTGGGTCCTCCTGCAGCTGGAGCTATTTTTTAAGCCTTTATTTGAGTCCAGGACCCTTAGAGTAGGGGAGCATAGCTCTCTGAAAGTTCCCAGGTTTGTTTAAAAATTTTAAAAATTTAACCAGAGAAAGTAAGAAAGCAAGCCACAGGTTCAGGACTCAAACTGTGGTCAGCCATGGGGGAGTCCAGCACCTTAAACACATGCCACCTGCCAGCCTCAGCTCCCAGGTATTTTAGGTATGACCTATGAAGCTCCTATACCAGATTCACCCAAGATGCTTGTTTAAAATGTAGGTTCTACAAGTAAAAACAAATAAATACAAAGTAAAATGCAAATTCTTGGGTTCTACTACAAATGAGCTGCATCTCAGCACCTAGGGGAACAGGACTTAGAAACCAGCATTTCTTTTTTTTTTTTTTTTTTTTTTTGTGGAGAGGTTTTTGCTATAAGGGCGCATGTGCTCGCCAGACAGACAAGAGAGAGACAGACAGAAAGCAAGAAATCACCCCCCAGGGGGAATGGCCACAGCGCAATCCCTTCTCCTCCATTCTCCTCTCGGGATCTTGGGCACGCACGCACACGCGCCCGGCGTGAGTTTTAAGCCACTGGGTCCGGGATGCGAACCGTGGTCAACTACACGGGAGTCCAGCAACATAGCCATTATGCTAACTGCTGGTCCCAGAAACCAGCATTTTAACAGATGTTTTAGAGCATTCTGATGCAAGCGGGCAGTCCCTGAACCATATCCAAACAAGCCTAGTTCTGCCAGAGGTTCGCAAACTTGTATCAGAACCACATGCAAGCTTTCAAAGGACTGCAGAATTTGCAGGTTTGCAGCGGGCCAGGAAGGCGCATTTACAACTCCCCAGGTTATTCTGATGTACAGGGGATCCTCAGAAAGTTCATGGAAAATGGGTATTATGGGAAAAATTGCACATAAATTTTAATTTTGTTTTCTTTACGCCAAAATAAACTCATACTTCCATAATCCCATCTTTTTTTTTTTTGTAAGTTGTCTGAAGTCCTCGTGTAGACAGTCAGGATGGTGGTGACGGGTGTGGGGCAGGAGGGCTCAGAAATGTGAGGCTGGCACAGGTTAAGTGGAGATCCACACAGGGCCTCCAGCACCTGCAACCCCTTACTCTCTCCTCCAGGTTCAACCAGTGCTACGGGGTGCTGGGGGTGATGGACCACCTTCATGGGACTGACACCATGTTTAAGCAGACCAAGGCCTATGAGAGACACACTCTCCTGCTGGGCTTCACTCCGCTGTCCGAGAGCATCCCCAACTGCCCCAAGAAGATGGAGTGAGAGCGGCCCTAGTGCCACCCTGGCTGTCCTCTCCGTGGAGGGATGTTGAGGTGGCCTGAGGCCCCCTGCCCGCGCCCAACGACTTGCCTCCCTCGGCCTCCCTTGGCCGTGCACTCCAGTAAGGGCACCACGAGTGCAGAGGTCAGCCTGCCGAGAGCAGGGCCAAGGACGGGGCCAGAGCTTCCCCAAACCTCTGCCCGTGGTGCCCCTTCACGGGACTGGGAGTTGAAGAGTCAAGGAAAAGGAAAAGAGCTCCCCCCCACAGGGTGCCAGTGAGCGGGAGGGTTACTGAGGGGGCACCTGGCCAATCTCCCTGCTCCTCTGCGGTGGAGGGGACAGGTGTTCTACTCCCAGTGACTTTGTGACCTGGACACAATGCAGAACGTGACAACGTTGGCAGCCTTAAGAAAGCTACGTGGCCTTCTCCACCAGGGCATGGGAGAACCAGATACCCTTGTGCCCCTTCCTGCCCGAAAACACTTTTCTCATATCCTGGCCAGGGCCAGGACACCAGGCCAAATGATTACAGGTCTCAGCTCTTAACATGCCAGACACGATTCCCTACCTCCCCCCACCCCCAACACTCGAAGTCAGTGACAAAGGCCCCATTTCAATGACCCCACTGAACACAAAGGTCTTCCTACTCTGAAAACTATCAAATATAGGGGCACCTCCGTGGATTAAAACTAAGACACCCAAGAGGTACAGCTCGAACTAACACCTTTAGCCCCATGTGGAAACGAAAGGCCAAATCCTGCCACCTGCTAAGATGGGTGCCCTTTTACCCATGAAGGGAGCGACCAGAGTTGCTACCTCTGGGGCCCCTGCATCTGAATCAGGATCAGAGGTTATCCCCCCAACAATGGCCCAGAAAAAAATGGCTGAGTGAAAGACACAATCCCTTTTTCTCCAAGTGGTTAATCACTTGTCATGGGACCAGCAGTTAGTGTAATGGCTATGTCACTGGACTCCCATGTAGCCAACTCCGGTTCGAGTCCCAGACCTGGTGGCTTAAACTCATGCCAGGCACATGTGCGTGAGTGCCTAAGATCCTAAGAAAAGAATGGAGGAAAAGGGATTGTGGCATGGCCATCCCCCCGGAGGGGTGATTTCTCACTGTCTCTCTCTCTCTGTCTTTCTGGCAAATGCACACGCCCTATAGCAAAAACCTCTCAAAAAACAAAACAAAAAACCACTACAGGGCCAGCAGGTGGCATGGTGGTTAAGGCGGCTGGAGTCCCACATGGCTGACCATGGTTAGAGTCCCGGACCTGGCAACTTCCTCTCTCACTTTCCCTGTCTCTCTGGTCAACTTCAAAAACCAAATAAAAAAATAATGATGACAATGCGGGGACCAGCAGGTGGCGTGGTGGTTAAGGTGCTGGACACTCCCACATGGCTGACCACAGTTCAAGTCCTGGACCTGGTAGCTTGCTTTCTCACTTTCCCTCTCTCTCTCTCTCTCTGTGTGTGTGTGTGTGTCTGTCTCTGGTCAAATTGAAATGAATGAATAAATAAAATTAAATAAAAAATCTTTTTAAAAAATAATGACAATGACTAAGATTAAATGATTTTTTTTGAGAGGCTTTTCACTATAGGGTGCGTGCACCCGCCAGACAGACAGACAGAGACAGAAAGCGAGAAATCACCCCCCAGGAGGGATGGCCATGCCGCAATCCCTTCTCCTCCATTCTCCTCTCGGGATCTTGGGCACGCACGTACACGCGCCCGGCGTGAATTTAAGCCACAGGGTCCGGGACTCGAACCCTGGTCGACTATGTGGGAGTCCAGCGACATAGCCATTACGCTAACTGCTGGTTCCCAATAAAATAATTATTTAAAAAAAAAAAAGAAAGAAACTAGAGCTGTTTGGGTTCAAGCAGTCTCTACCCTGGCCACCCCTCAGCAGACAGACGTGACCGGGACGTGGCTCCCAAGAACAATTTGAAGACCCTCTTCAATTTGAACGGCTACCATCATGCTATACTGAATTCTTATACACACCTGTTTCCACCTTTCAGTTCTGTCAAGAAAACCACCCAGTCTGGTTTTACAAAGTTCTTTTAACATCTGAAAGGACCATGGTGGTTAAGGTGTTGACCTCCTACATGGCTGTGATTTGAGTCCTGGACCTGGTGGCTTGTTTTCTCACTACCCCCTGTCCTGGTAAAATTAAAAAATAACGGGACCAGCAGATGGCTTAATGGTTATGTTGCTGGACTCCCACGTAGTTAACTGTGGTCTGCATCCCATACCCAGTGGCTTAAAGCTCACGCTGGACACATGTGCATGCATGCCCCATATCCTAAGAGGAGACTGAAGAAGGAGGGATTGTGGTGTGGCCACCTCTTGGAAGGGATTTCTTGCTTTCTCTCTTTCTCTGTCTCTCCAGACAGTGCACACACCTTATAGCTAAAATCTCTCTAAAAAATTAAAAATTATAATGAATACAATTTTAAAAAAAAATTCCTGGGGCCAGCAGATGGCGGAATGGTTACGTTGCTGAACTCCCATGTAGTTGCCCAAGGCTTGGATCCCAGACCTACCTGGTTGCTTAAAACTCACGCTGGGGGGAACCAGCAGTTAGCGTAATGGCTATGTCGCTGGACGCCCACGTAGTCGACCGCGGTTCGTGTCCCGGACCCGGAGGCTTAAAACTCACGCCGGGCGCGTGTGCGTGCGTGCCCAAGATCCCGAGAGGAGAATGGAGGAGAAGGGATTGCGGCGTGACCATCCCCCCTGGGGGGTGATTTCTCGCTTTCTGTCTCTATGTCTCTGTCTGTCTGTCTGGCGAGCGCACGCGCCCTACAGTGAAAATCTCTCAAAAAAAAAAAAACACCTCACGCTGGGCAAGTGTGCATACATGCCCAAGATCCTGAGGAGAATGGAGAAGAAAGGACTGTGGGTGACCATCCTCCCTGGCTGGGGGGGGAGTGATTTCTCACTTTCTGTCTCTCCAGTGAGTGCATGTGACCTATAGCAAAAATCTTAAAAAAGAAAAAAGAAAGAAAAGAAAGGGCCGAAACTCAGGCAAGACTATCTAAAAAGACTTCCCAGCAGCCCTAAGGGGACTTGCCCAGCATCATCATCCCTGCGTTCAGAAGAGCTCTGGCCCACCTCCTGCCCTGGCCTACAGGGCCCCACCCTCACTAAGATGGATGGCTCGTGCCCTTAGTGGGCAGGTCGCAGCTCCCAGTTCTCACCTCTGAGGCCCCACCCACCCACCTGCCAACACGCATGGACTTGAGAAAGGGAGGAGCTGGGAGTGGACAGACAATACATTGTCTTCCTCAAGGTTTAGGTTTGAGGTTCTGAGGGGCCTTGCGAGAGGCTGTCATTGTCACCCCTTTTGGTAGGCAGGTGATCGGTTCCAGGCAGAGGGGCCCAGTCCCACCCTTTTCTGGGTCAAACAGATCGGCCCTGAGGTTGGTCAAGTGAGGCTGAGAACAACCTCAGGTTCTCAGAAAACATGTGAATGTGAGAGGAGAAAGCACGTGAAATAAACTTGGTGTCCACTGGACTCCAGATGTTCGTTCTTTCTGTCCCCAACCAGACCTGTTCTGACTCGTGACATCTGGGGCTATGGTGGTACAAAGCCTCTTCTGTGGGTATTCCTGACAGGGAATGTGCAGAAGTGAGCTGGAGCTCATCTTCCTGTCCCAGAGCTACCTATAGTCTGAAGCTCTGGCCACTGTTTTTATGTTTTTGTCATAGGGTGCGTACATTCTCTGGAGAGACCGAGACAGAGAAGTCGCCCTCCGCCATTCTCCTCTAGCGACTTTGGGCATGCACACATGTATGTGCTCCTGGAGTGATTTACAAGCCGCCGGTCCAGAACTCAGACTGTTGGCCATGTGGGAGTCCAGCACCTTAACCACTGCACCACCTGCCGGGCCCTGGCCAGTCTCAACCACTCCTTTGGCAAATAGAGGCCACTGGGTGGTATTGAAGTCCTTACCCACCTGAGAGAGAAAAAGAACTCTCTCGAAAACCATTTCTGGGCTGCTTGATGGCATGCTTAAGGCAGCTGGATCCCACACAGCCAACTGCACCATTCGAGTCCCAGACCAGGTGGCTTGAAAAACACTCTGGGCGCCTGACACGCTGAAAGGCGAAGAAACCAGGTTGTTTGTAGGTTGCGGAGTGGCCCTGCCCCTGGGCATGCTTTCTCTCCCCCTCTTTCTAGTGAGTGCATGTGCCCTCTAGCAAAAAATTTAAAACAGTTGGCGTGGTGGTTAAGGTGCTGGACTACCACATGGTTGACCATGGTTCAAGTCCTGGACCTGGCTCTCGCTCTCTTGCTCCTTCCTTCTGGGCAAATTAAATAATTCTAACAAAACAAAACAAACCAATCTGACAGGAGTGCCAGGTCAATGGACAGCTTAGCTGTAAGATCAAGGCCAGGCTTTCTGTTCAATTTGCAATTCCACATGAAGAATGCAGGGGGCTGGGGCGACTGTTACACCCTCAAGAGTCTGTTCTGAGAGGGGCTGAGGTCACCTTTATGAGGAAGCTCAACCTTTTCAAACATAAAATCCGTTTATCTTGGGGCAAAATTTTGAAACCTATGGTTTTTCGTAATCTAGTTTATGCTATAGAGCACATGCACTTGTGAGGGGTGGGGGCTGTGAGACATCACCTCTCCCCACCTCCGGGGAGAATGGTCACATCATGCTCCCCTCGCCTCCAATCTTGTCTCGGGATTCTGGGCGTGGATACACACATGGCCAGTTTTTCAAGCTGCCACATGGGATCTGGCCACGGTAACCACTATACCTCCTGCTGGCCTGCATAATACACACTTTCCACGAACTTCCTGAAGACCCCTTGGATCCGCTGGACTGGTCTCTCTCCATTCCGTGGCACTCAAGGCTGCTCCCGAAGCTAGAAAGACCCCGGGGCGTGACCTGCACCCACAGGACATCGAGAGTGCAGGGCTCCTCTGGGATGGGGGAACCCCAACAGGGCTCCATCCCTCATACTTAATTACCCCAGATGGGAGACCAGCCAGTATTTTGCCTTTTCAAGTTTTTATTTTTATACATTTTTTTGTATTAAAAAGAAAAGCATAATTACCACAAATTACAAAGGACTAAAGCAGGACTAGAGTAATGAATGAATCACTTCAGCCTGAAAGCGGGTACTCAATAATATTAATGTTATAATACAAGCTCATTCAAGTATTTTACATTTCTTTTTTTTTTTTTTTTGTCCTTTAAAATGTGACAACCTAGCACATGGTAAAGATAATGTACTACGAGCGTAAGGTGGGACCTTCTCCGCAGAGCCAAATGACAAGTTTTCCTCTCCAATGAGAAGGGGCTGTAAGTCCTTATCCCCTCTGCCATCCAATGGCTGAAGGAGAGGGCGAGGCTGGGGAAATCCAGGGGCTTCCACACAGGAGATACTTTGGGGTCCCATTCAGGAGGGTGCCAGATGACCCAGACTGCTTTACCCAGGCTTTTGGCAAAAACCATCACCCCCATGCTAACTAGTGGTCTTCCTCGCCCCTCCTCTCCCATTCCCAGGGCCTCCTGAGCAGCTTACTTTCTTCTGTAAAACAATCAGGGAAGGGGAAAATGGAACAAAACGAAAACAGTTAACAACTCCGACACGAGGGCTCCGGGCTTCAGGGCTCCAGGCCGGGGCCGGGCCCAGGGACCCGTCTCTACTGGTAGCACATCTGCTCCCAGGTTCAGAAGCGGGCGAACGAGAACCTGCACCCTAAGGGGGCCGAGGCACACAGACCTTCCGATGTTCGATGCCCAAAGGTCGCGCTGCTGTGGACCGACCTTGGAAGGGGCAGGATGAGCAGAGGGATCTGGGCAGGCTGCTGCTTGTGTCTCAGGTCTTGCATCCCCGTGGGAGGATGGTGGGTGTCAAGTGGCTAGCCCTGATGGCCCCTGCCACTCCTGGCATGCTTGTCACAGATACATCGGTCCTAAATTCAAGTGTCTTCAGAAAGTGAAGATGTAAACTACTCTTTGCAACATTAACTCTTAACATGTTACCAAAAGAAAAAAAAAAAAAGAGCGAGCGAGAGCGAGCCCCCCTCGGGCCCCATTCTCAGCCTATGTTGAGATGAAGTCCTCACCTCCTCACCCCAAAGGGGCTTCCTCTTTGAGGGGTGTCGTGGAGAGGATTGGGGAGAGGATGGCAGCTCCCTGGCCTGGGAGAAAATTCTAGGTAAGAATAGCCTTTCCCACACCCCATGGCTTCCTGGTGCCCCCAAACCCAGCAGAGGACGAACACTGAGGTTTCTGTGGCGCTGGATACAGTACAGGCTGAGTGACCTGGAGGAGGGCTCTGAGGGAGAGCAGGGAGTCCAGTGTCTGGTGCAGTGCAGGCAACGCCAGACCTCAGGGCGGCGGAAGGCCTCGGTCCCAGTCGAAGCAGAGACCCGTCACTCATCCTGGGTCACAGGAGCTGAGGGGGGCATCCCACACACTGACCACTGGGAGGGTAGCACTGGGGGAAGGGCGCAGGTGAAAAGCAACGAGTGCCAAGGTACAGGGCAAGCCCTTGTCAGCCTGGGGTACTGCCTCCTACTCCCGACCTTTGGGCCCAATGAAAGAACCATCTGAAAAGGAGGGCCAAAGTGTCAGTGGCTGAGCAAAAAGACCACAGCTTCTCCGTGCTGCCCAGTTCCCACTGGGGTGAACGTAGTTATGCCCACACCCGGCAAGCATCCCGTCTGGGTGGGTCAGTCCTCCTCACCCTCCCTGGCTTCGGACGACAGTGAACTCCAGCCATCCCATTGTCATTCACAGCCCAAGCCGAGCAGTCAGTGGCTGGAGAAGAGAAGTCAGGTATACTCTATGTCCACATATACCTTCCTGCCGCAGGGCTTCACCGACTGGCAGGATTCCCCCCAGCCCCCAATTCCTCATCCCTCGCTCCCAGGTGGGATCAATTGGAGGGTGGGCAGATGGCTTGCAGAGGGGGGATGATAGATGGGGAGACCCCCACCAGACCCTAGGGGGAGAATGGCATCTTTCTCCACCTTTTAGGAGAGACAAAGCCTCCTGGAGGTCTCAGAGATCTTTCAGGCCAACACAGGAAACATTTCCAAGCCTCAGCTGCCAGGTGTTCACCTTTCCCCTCTGGGCTGGGGGAGACTTTCAAGCTGAGGCCAAATGTGTTCAAGATCCAGGCCAACTCTGGACTCCAACAGTTTGAAGCAAACTTGGCCTGGGGGTTCCAAGGGTAGGATGAAGGGTGTCACGGCAGGACGGGGCCTGGCGTGAGGCAACAGCAAGCAGGGCGAGGACACGACAGTGGCAGCAGTGCACAGACACAGGACGTCGGCTTCGAACGATGCAACAGCAGGGGTATTCTGGGCACAGCTCTGAGAGGGCCGCCCCACTCTCTTGCCTCCAGGCAGGAGGCACTGTACATGCAACTCAGTCCAGAGAAAGATTCTTGCCAGTCCGAGCCCAGGCACATCCAGAGGAGGTGGGAGCTCTTCGGGTTGACTCCACCAAGGAAAACAGGCATTTGGGTATTTCAGATTCCCGCTCCACAATAAGGCAACTTTTAAAAAAATATTATTTCCAAGAACAAAACAAAAAAATTCGATGGGGAGGGAAAGACATCACTTTCTGTGGATAAGGTGGGGGTTTGCTGATTTTTTTTTTTTTGGTCTTTTATGGTCGATTTTGTCTTTTTTTTTTTTCTTCCATTTTCCCAAGGATGGAAAGGTCAGAGAAAAATAAAATAAATCATCTTTCAAATAGTCTTTTCTGGTATGAGCAGGGTCTCTCTGGGCTGGGGAGTAAGGGGTGTGGGGAGAGGGGAGTGGGGTGAGGCTGAAACCTCCCCCCCAATCCCCACTTCTAGATCCTTTGGTTTCCTTCTCCCAGAAGATGGCAGAAGGGCATGGTGGGGACAGCAGGGAGATCATGGTGATGGCGGACCCTGGATGACGAAGGGGCTGGTGCTCCTAGGGCCCAGGGTGCTGCCGGAGCCTTCCACGGGACAGTGCTGGGCAATGGGGCCCGCAGGCCTTCTTGTGGGCTGCATAGTTGGCTGGAGGGGGAGCAGGAGGCTGTGGGTGGGGACCAGGGCTGCGGCCTAAATGCCGCGGGCAGGACTGCAGAGTGATTTTGGTAATCCAGACGAACTATCAATAATTTAAAACTTGATATATATATATAATATATATATATATAAAAAAAATCTCCCCCCTTTCCCTCCCCCCCTTAGAAGAAGCTAGGATGTGAAGAGTCATGGAGAAAGGAGGGGAAGGGGGATGTGGAGGCTCCTGCCCAGGGGGATCTCTGATAGCCCAAATGGTGTACACACTGCGACTCAGCACGAAGGCCTGACTATCTCTAGGCCTGTCCCTTCTCTGTCCCCTCTCCTGGGACTGGGCACCCCCATGGACTCTCGCCCACCCCACCTTTCCCCCCACAAACCCCAGGGCTAAGGGCTTTTCACTTTCCCAAAGTCTGTGTGTCCGAGTGCTGGCTTGTCCATTTGGCATCTTCCCGGACAGGCTGGCCAGTGGGTGGTGTAGGGGGTTGGCTGATCATGGTTGCGGGCCTGCTGGAAGACTGGGAGGGGCATCGCTTCCTGCCCTCACCTCCGCCACCTCCTGCTACTGCTGGGTGTCGTTTGTGGTTGCCCTCTTCACCCATGGGGGGCTGCGAAGAGAACGGAGTCACAGGTGAGAAAGGGGCACTATCCCCACACCCTCTTCCTTGCCAGTGCTGTTTACAGACCTCCTTTTACCTCCAAACGTAGAGAGTAGGTTTAATGTCACAACAGAACTACTGGGTATGGGTTATTTGGCATTTCGACACCAAAGCCCATGTGCTGTTTCATGCACTTTCTCTTAGGGGGTCCACACTACCCTTTGATATGGATGTGATCCACGCCATGATTCTGTTTTACAAAGGCAAGACAACTGAAGCGCAGAAAACAATCTGCCAAGGGTCCCATAACTGGTAACTGGTGAAGACAAACTCTAAACCCACCTACTCCCAGAGGCCAGAGTTTTCCCCATACGAGTCTGCACCACTCCAGAGAAGGGCTCCTGCTCAGGAGAGAACGTGTGAAATGCAGCAGGCACAATGCCGAGATAGCTCAGCTCAGAGACCCGGATGCTCATGGCCCCCTCAAGGGGGGAGCTCAGCTCGACCCCGTCAAGGCCCTAAAGGGGACACTGACCTAGGAAACAGACCAAGATCCAGCCTGGCTTGACTATTAGCATGAGTCTGTAAATCAAGAACATGGCGTTCCCTTTCCAAGAACCACAGTCAAACCCTTCTCGTTCCCCCAACAGGTCTGCACGTCACAAGCATGCAGGCGCTCAGGGCTGGAAGAGAGCACTCATCTTCACGCTGGGAGACCCAAGCGTCCTGCCACTGCTTCACTGGGGGAGCCACAGCCTGTCTGCACATGGGGCCAAGCAAGGTCAATGCGAAATACCTAGCATGGTGCCTGCCTCAGAGTGCACCAGCAATAAACGGAAGCTTTTAATATAGTAACTGTGCCACTTACTTTTATTTGCCTTTTTGCTGAATGGTTTGAAGGAGTAAGATGCCTAGCACAGATCTCTACGGCATTAAACTCAGAAAAAAAAAAAATCTTTCACTCATCTCTGAAATCCCTGAAGCACCTATCAGAGACATCCAATCAGCATCTGCTGCATCAATTAAACAATCGACTCCACCCACCAACTCCTCTGACACACCCTAACCAGCAGCACTAACCCAAACTCACCACTGGATGTCACTGTTGAGACAGTGCTCCAAGATGACAGAAGTGGCCATCAATTTATAAACTGCTGGGGTTGGCAATGGCCTTTTCCAGAAAGAGCTAATACATTTATTTTGGGTACCCTCCTATTCAACTAGCAGTGGTTAATGGATATGAGACAGGAGGCATTATGATGCTTTAGTGATGTCTACCAAGGAGGGGGGCAACCATACCATTCCCTCCAATCATTCTTCACTGTCCACTCCCAAGTCTCACACCCCATCATACAGATGGAGAAACTAGAGCCCAAATCAGGGATGTGGAGATGGGGATGGTCCTCTGGGCTAGTGGCACACCTGACATCAGAACCCAGGTACACTGATTCCTGGGTCTAGTCAGGTAGGGTTAGAAAAAAGACTTCACTCATGGGGCCAACAGGTGAAGTGGTAGTTAAGGGCACTGGGCTCCCACATGGCTGACAGCGGTTTGAGTCCTGGACCTGGCAGCTCTCTCTCTCTCACTCTGTCCCTCTCTATACTTACTCTCTCTCACTCTATTGTT